ACCGAAATCTGCCTCCTTTGGAAGAAATGTCTAAGCTTGTAGGGTCTCTGGCATTGCTAGACCTAGCTCTGCCCAACCTTTCCATTCAGAAAGGAAGTCACCTGGTTTCTGAACAGGATGCTTTGGCCGAACTAGGCCTAGCTAGGCCACAAAACCTTCAAGCACAGACCTTTCTCCCAGGTGAACCACATCTAGGCTCTGTATGTAAGTGTCTGTCAGATGGAGATCTCAGAATAACTATTTATGGGACTTCTAGTCCAAAAATTCCATTACACAAATAGTGGCAACACTTAAAATTAATACAAAGCAGCAACTACATACATAACAGGCACTTTCTTTTAAAACAGATGAGGAACCTATGGTCCTCCAGATGTCGCTTGGAATCAAAATCTAAGCTGCCAAAGGCTGACAGGAGGTGGAATGTAACACCCAGGAAGCCACCTGTTCCATACATACTCTTTTAAAAAAATCACCATGTCACTCATAAAGACCACTTCAATGTCACCACTCAAGAAAGATCACTTCTGAAGCAAACAGAACTCTACTTACATTTCTGATTCAAGTCTTTCAAGTTTCTACTTATGTTTATAGCAATATCTTTCATTTCTAGGTATTTCAGACTAGTAAGTTTGTTCATATTTTCTAACAGCTTGTAGTCTTCACTAGTGGCTAGAAAAAGAAAGAAATAGAATGAGTCAAGAAAAAGACTGCTTCTATTTAAGTTAGTCAATCAGTTATTTGCAGGCCATAATTATAATCACAGTCATATGGATTTGTTATTTGAATTTATGATTCTGGTAATCACCACCAGCAAAAGTGCTTTATTTCACTGTAAACATCTTGAAGCATAAAGCTGTAGTTCATGAATAGCAATTAAACATTGAGGAGTTCTCCAGACAGGCAGCACCACATGAAGCAACTTATCAAAAGTTCCTGCAACACACTAGCAAAGTTATATCTTTATGATGAGAGAAAAATGTAGGTAAAGGACAGAGCAGACCCTGATGAAAATGACCTGGTTTGGAAACTGTTTTTAGAAATGCCTGATTCCAGATGGAAGGTTTTGGCTAGAATACCACTCATTATTATTTATACTTAACTCTCAAAGACATCAGTGGAACTTGTTCCTGAGAAAACATGGACAGAATTTTACTGTGTATTATATATAATGTAAGCTTACCTGTTAGTTCCCCTGTTAGGTAAATGGCCATTTTGTTAAACATATCCTTACAAAGTTCATTGATATCTGCCTCTGCTGGTTCCGTAGCTTCTTCTGCTGTTTCAACTGCAGGATCCTCTATTAAGATTTAGAAGTTCAGAAGAGAAAATAAAATATTAGAGGTTTTTAAATGTATATCCAGATTTATCAATGAAATACTTTATATAGAAAATTAATGAACTTATGCCAAGTATGTCTTTAAAAATTCAATTAAATAATGTCTGTAATTAACAGCAATGGGATAATATGACTATTCTGGATTAGGAGACATTTCACAAGTATGGAAACTACTATAAAATGCATGTATATGGAAAACAAGATGATATGTAGTTAAAAATACAAGTTTACATTACTGTATTTTGTTTTGTAAAGCTACTGTCAAAGCTGGAGACAAATAACTTTTTT